GGCTGCTTGTTTTTCCACTTTCCTAGTTGCAGCCCCATCGGCTATTCTGACCCTGTTACCTGTTGCTGATGCCAGGCTGGGTTTCTGCCTGCTAACTCGTTTTCTGCCCAGTTCCTGTCTGCCATTTGCCTGGTTATTCTCTCAGTACCTGCTCCACCCTGCCTGCTGTTGGATAGGTTATTCTCCCTGCACTCACTCTACCCTACCTGCTGCCAATACAGTCCCTCCATCCTGACTCTTGTTACCAAGGCCAGATTTGTTTTCTGTCTGTCTACTCTCATCCTCTACTGTGTCGAAAGTCACCTGCTTTAGAGGTTTGATCCTTTTTTGGCTTATGGATATCTGTCTGTCCTCAGGCTGCCTAAGCAGAAACAGTTTTCAGAGCTCAGCATATTTTTATTCTTGTGGCTGTTTATGTGACTGTTTTGTATTTTGGTTCTTAAATATTGTTTAAAACCCAGAGAAAGAGAAAGAAGAAAGTCAGGATGTATGCGTGTTATTTACCTACAGCCACTATGCTCCATAAAGTTGAGCAGAGCTGATCCTGGCCAGTGAGTGGATGGGAGACCACCTGAGGAACATCAGAGACTGGTCCTGTGGCCTGCTTCCTGTCACCATCTGAATGATAAGGGACACTATGGTAGAAGACCCAGGGGACCCCACTGCTGACATAGGAATATAAAGAAGCTAAATTGGAGTTTGTCAAAATGTACTTGAGAATGTCCTGTGGACAAATGAGACAAAAATAGAGCTATTTGGTCGAACACATCATTCTGCTGTTTTCAGAAAACAAAATGAGGCCTTCAAAGAAAAGACCACGTCCCTACTTATGCATGCGCTGCGTGGAGTGGCAGCAAGTTTCAGCAGTTCTGGTCTCGTCATGTTTTCTTTTGTGTTTTTATTAAGTTTTCCAGTGTTTGCTTTGTGTTATTCTCTTGCTGTAGTCCTTAGTAGTGCTGTGCTACCAGGATACAAATTGTTACTGGGTTTGCATTATGACTCTTACTATTTTGCAAGCTCCGGAGTCAGGAGATGCCGGTCGCATTGTTTACACTCGAAGCCAACTACTAGCACTCAGAAGCAACCGGCCACCTCACAAGGAGAAGCTGGAGATTCCCTCAGAAACACGGCGTAAAATGCTGGGCTGCAGAGCTGGCATAAAGCACCGGGAGATGAAACGAAGGTATAAGTCATGTTTACCATCTGTCGTTATGGGTAACGTGCGGCCCCTCTCCAGCAAGATGGACAAGCTAACAGTGCTAATGAGACTGCAACATGAGTATAGGGAGAGCAGCCTGCTATGCTTCACCGAGACCTGGCTGAACAACAACACTCCAGATTCTGTGGTCTCCTTACAAGGATTTAAGCTAATTCGGGCAGATCGAAGCATGGCTGACTGTGGTAAGAGGAAAGGTGGAGGTTTGGCAGTGTACTTTAATAACAGATGGTGCAATCCTGGACACATAACTGTTAAGGAAATATTCTGTAGCAGAGACATTGAACTATTAGCTATCAGTGTACGGCCGTACTACATCACCAGGGAGCACTCCCATGTGATTGTGGTGATGGTATACATTAATCCTTCGGCTGACGCTAAGGCTGCATGTCAGCGCGCGCTGAGCACCATAGCTGGGATGTAGTCACAACATCCACAGGCTTTAATTCTTACCTCGGGGGGACTTTAACCATGCTTCTCTCCCCAAACTTCACCCAGTATGTAAATTGCCGCACAAGGGACAATAAAACTCCTCCACCCCCTCCCCCATCTAGGTCACTCTGACCACAACCTTGTTCACCTATTTCCAGTGTATACTCCATTGGTGAAAAAAGCGTCACCTCAGGGTAGTAAAGGTATGGACAGTTGAGCAGCTGAGGGACTGTTTTCACACCACAGACTAGGACATCCTCTGCAGTCCTCATGGAGAAGACAGCCTAACACACAGTGTTTTGGATTACATAAACTTTTGTGTGGAAAATACCGTACCATCCAGGAGAGTGTTCCGGTGTTTTCCTAACAACAAGCCGTAGGTGAGCCCCAAGTTAAAAGTACTGCTAAATGAGAAGAAGAGAGCTTTCCTCTCAGGGGACAAGGAGGAGCTGAGCAGGATGCAGCAGAACTAAAGTACATGATCCATAGGTGCAAGGCTAGCTACAGGAAGAAGCTGGAGCAGAGCATGGAGAATAATAACGTGTGTGAGGTGTGGAGAGGCCTGAACCACATCTCGGGTCATGGTAAAAGTGGAGATGGTCACTAGGTTGCGGGGAACAAAGCCTGGGCAAATGAACTGAATCTGTTTTTTAATAGATTTGACTCTACCCAGTCCTCATCCCCCACCCTACCAGCCTCCCTGACTTACTTCTCCAGGTCAGTTGTCTCCCTGCACCCGCAGCTGCTCACACCTCAGCTAGGCCTTGCCCCTCCTCCCACTGTCATGGGGTTTTCTCAACATCCCACAGCTCCTGAGCAGTCACCACCCACCAGCCCCCTCCGCCTCATGGCAGACCAAGTCAGGAGGGAGTTAAGGAGGATTAAGGCCAGGAAGGCAACAAGCCCTGACCACATCAGCCCCAGGGTCCTCAGGGAGTGTGCAGACCAGCTCAGTGAGGTTTAATCTGAGTCTTAGCCTGGAGAGAGTCCCAGCCCTATGGAAGACATCCTGTGTTGTCCCAGTTCCCAAAATACCTCATCCTAAGGAGCCGAACCATTACAGACCCATTGCCCTGACCTCCCACCGGATGAAGACAATGGAGAGGATTGTCCTCGGCCACCTCCGTGCCCAGGTGAGCTTGGCGCTTGACCCGCTGCAGTTTGCATACCCTCCTGGCACTGGGGTTGATGACGCCATTACCTACATGCTGCATCAAGCCCTATCTCATCTGGAGTCCCCCGGAAGCATGGTGATGGTCATGTTCTTTGACTTCTCCAGTGCTTTCAACACAATCCAGCTATCACTGCTGAGGGGGAAGTTGGAGGGGGCAGGTGTGGACCAACACCTGTCCACATGGGCCATTAACTACCTCACAAATAGACCTCAGTTTGTCAGGCTGCGTGCGTGACTGTGTGTCGCAAGTGGTGGTCTGCAGCACGAGGTAGCCCCAGGGGACGGTGCTTTCCCCCTTTCTGTTCACCCTTTACACGTCGGGCTTCAAGTACAACTCCCACCAGTGTCACCTACAAAAGTTCTTTGATGACACCGCCATTGTTGGATGTGTATCGGGGGGGATGAGCAGAAATACGGGGGGTTGTTAGTGACTTTGAGAAGTGGTGTGAGGAAAATCAACTGGTCCTGAACACCAGCAAGAGATGGTGACTGATCCCTGGCGGAAATCACCAGCACTCACTCCGGGCTCAGTCATTGAGATTGTGGACACCTTTAAATACCTGGGGGTCCACCTCAACAAAAAAAATGAATTGGACTGAAAACACTGATGCCCTGTACAAGAAGGGCCAGAGCCGCCTCCACTTGTTGAGGAGAATGAGGTCCTTTGGTGTGCGGGGGGCACTCCTTCAGACATTTTAAGATACTGTAATGGCATCTGCTGTTTTGTACGCTGTTGTGAGCAGGGTGGAAGGTAGCACGGACAGGGACAGAAAGAGACTAAACAAGCTGGTCAAGAGAGCTGGGTCTGTCCTGGGCTGCCCCCTGGATTCCATTGAGGAGGTGGCAGACAGAAGGATGCTGGTAAAACTAACATCCATCATGCATGACCCCTCCCATCCCCTGCACTACACAGTAGAGGTTCTGAACAGTTCCTTTAGCGCAAGACTGTTACATCCCCAGTGTAAGAAGGAGCATTACCATAGGTTGTTCCTCCCCACAGCAATCAAACTGTACAATACATCACTGCAGGGATAAGCTAGGTGATAGTATGACGGACTATGTAGTAGTCAACTGAGGTGCAATACTCAAATCCTGGAGTAAAATGCATGGTTAATATGCACATACGTAAATTCTGTTCTGATTATTCAAATACTTGATTCTGTCTATTTTTGAGTACTTGGAATTTATTTATCAGGATGTGTGTGTGGTGCTTGTTCTCATGGTGTTATGTTGTCTGTTCTCTATTGCTGCTTGTTTGTTTATCAAGATATGTGTGTGGTGTTTGTTTCTCATGGTGTTATGTTGTTTGTTCTCCATTACTGCTGAAACACTGAAATTTCCCCAATGAGGGATCAATAAAGTACCTACCTACCTACCTACAGTCAAACACGGTAGAGGTTCACTGATGTTCTGGGGCTGCTTTGCTGCTTCAGCCATTGGATGTCTTAACTGTGTGTGTGACATCTAAAGACTACCAATGAATTCTAGGGCCCAGTGTCAGAAAGTTGGGTCTCTGTCAGAGGTCATGGGTCTTGCAGCAGGACAATGACCAAAAGCAGACTTCACAAAGCATCAGAGATGGTTTCAGACAATGAGCTGGAGAGTTCTGAAGTGGCCAGCAATGAGTCCAGATCTAAATCTCATAGAGCTCCTGTATAGAGATCTCAGAACAGCAGCTGGGAGAAGGAACCCTTCAAATCTGAGCTGGCAGAATAAGAGTGGTCCAAAACTCCAGTAGAGGTTGAAGAAACTCACTGATGGTTACAGGAAGCGATTGATTATTATTATTGATTATTTTGTCCAGAGGGTGGGCTACCAAATAAGCTGACGGTGTCAATAATCCTGTCCAGTCCATTCTTGGAGTTCTGTGTGGAATGGATCAGATTTGGCTTTTTTTCTGCTTTTTTGTTGTTCCAATGCAAAAAAAGAAAATAAACATGAGAATACCAAAGAATTTGTAATTGCAACAGTTTTCTGAGAGAAGTGATGTGTTATCTGACAGAAATGCAGAGGTGGCAATATTTTTGGCCATAACAGTAAATGAAGTAAGGCTGAAATGAACTCTAAAGGTATATTAACCACAGGTGTGCAGTCCGATGACCCTAAACCATCAACTGCTGAGGTGAGCTGCTGTCACTCATGCTGGACCACAACTGAAATGTGTGTCATATACTTTAGGTCATTTCCACATGTGAAGAATTGCTCCATTCACATAGTACGACTACGAGTCCACAGCATCAGGCTCTCATTTCGCCATCTGATTCTCTATTGCTGTCTGGATATGATGAAGATTTTGCAGCCAATAACAATCACCTCAAGGTAAACTAATCTTTCACTGGCGTATTCAAATAATTGGTCCATTGCTTAAATATTTTTCCATACACTAGAATTTGCCAGGCATCTTGATCTTTGTGCATATGTGTGCAGTTACCCATCCCAGAAGTAAATGAGGAGAGATGCTGGGAAATGGAGAAAACTGAGCAAATCCCACCAGGACAAATGGCCAGCAATAGGACACGCTCCAGTTCAACCAGTGTGTATCATTTCCTCATTGGTAAAATTACTTGACATACTATTTATTGATACTACTAGTAACAGTGCAACTACGTTAGCTGTATGTTGATTCATTTCTGTGATCAATTTTATATTGCACACAGTGGCATTTCCATTTATTTGTAGAAAGAATTTAACATTAAAATTTGTCACTCATTTGCATACACAGAATTGCTCTTCTGTGTATGCAAAGAAGTTGGAAATATAATGCAAACAAAATGGGGAGGAAACTACTCCTCTCAAAGAAAGCTGTGTTGCTAATCAGAATCATATTAATTCTTAGCAAGTTTTGGTTATGCACCACTTTGTGCTTATACTGAAATAGTGAGTGGAAAAGTATTCTTTCACAATTTCAATTCAGTTCAACTCACTTTTATTTGTATAGTGCCAAATCACAGCAAAAGTCATCTCAGAACACTTTACAAAGTTTATAGAGGAAAACCCCAAGAAATCCCTCTTGAGCAGCATTTGGCAACACACCAGGGAGGAAAAACTCCGGAAGAAACCTACTATTATGACCTGGATGACTGAGAATCTGCATGGACATGTTCGCTAAAAGCTCATGAAGTCGTTACTACTGAGATCTAAGGGAATGTTAAGCTCTACAATGTACAGAAGTAATGAAGCATCTGCTCACAACTCCAAAAAAAAGAAAAAGAAATTTAACTGCATAGAGAGTTGGAAAATCAGCTACAGGAATTAATCAGAAAATTAAAAAAAATACTAACATTTTTGGAATATGATTGTGCTTCCTTTTTGTTAAGTTTAATTGGCAGTGGCATCTTAGTTTGCAGTTTGACACCTTACCATATGTATTGCATTGTGTGCCATTGGTATAAAACTGTATGCAGCCCTAAGTCAGGAAACATTTGGACAGTATGTAAAATCAAAACTAAAAATAGTGATGTGTAAATCATCTTTGATCTGTATTACTTTGAAAACACAGCAGCACATTATTTGATGTGATACCTCATCAGTTTTATTCTTTGTTCAAAATAAACACTCACTTAAGTTTTGATGCTGCAACTCATTTTAGAAAAGTTGGGACAGTAAAGCATTTACCACAGTGTGATTTTGTTGCACAACATTTTGAGGCAATCACTGCAATCAAGCTATTTCGGTAACTCCCAATGAGACTTCTGCAACTGTTGACAGATATTTTGGCCCACTCCTCATGAGCAAACTGCTCCAGCTGTCTTAGGTTTGGAAGGTGCCTTCTCTAGACTACATATTTCAGCTCTTTCCACAGATGTTCAATGGGATTTAAACCAGGGCTCATAGAAGGCCACTTCAGAACAGTCCAGTGTTTTGTTCTTAGCCATTCTTGGGTGTTTTTTTTAGCTGTGTTTTGGGTCATTATCCTGTTGAAGGACCCATGACCTGCAACTGAGCCCAAGGTTTCTGACACTGGGCAGCACATTTCCCCCCAGAATGCCTTGATAGTCTTGCGATTTCATTGTACCCTAAATTTAAAATTCTCCCACCTTAGGCTCCTACCTGCAGAGACAACGCGAGACAACAAGGTTTGTCGTGGCTAGAATGTAATACCGACTAAATTAAGTCAGACAAATCATCCCAATTTAAGTAATCATTTAATAATATGGGATAGGTACAGTATTAAATAAGATTATCACAGCGCCAGTCATTCTTTGTCACAGCCAGTCAGTCTTGGTCACAGGGTCCCCCCGGTTGGCCGGGTCCAAGCTCACTCTCACAACTGCTGCACCATCCTTTCTACTTCTCCTTCTCCTTCTACCCCAGCTATCCTAGCCTTTATCTTCTCGCAGTTACACAGCCTTCTATGGCCTGAGCCAGAGACACAGTCTCATTCCAGCTCCACACCCCTTCTTCCGAACACTGTCTAAGATGTCCAGTACATGAACTTCTAGGTTGCATTGACCTAGCACACATTTCCTTTTTCTAAACGTGAACAAAAGCATTGAACCGTTCACATAAGGCTGCAACTACAGTATATCCATTCCCTATCTGAGGAGGAAGTCACTTGGGATGTTGACCCATAGGTTAAACAAGGGGGACACAGCACAAGATATTCTTGCCTGCTCAAGAAACAGATCAAGCTTCCGTACACACTGAGCTCAGCCTTACATCCTTTACAAAACTATTACAAATAATATCTAAATATGAACTACATACTGTTCTATTACATATTACCTCTGGAACCTTGTTTATTTTCAACCACTACACTCATCTTTGAGATATGTGGTTATACAGAGTATACTATATTTTGTTCTTTTTAAGAAGAGCAAAATTATTATTACAGTTTATGTATGTCATGATTATGAAATAAATAAAATAGGTTCCACTCTCCCTGATATTTTTCATCATCCAGCCTTTAGAGTCTGCAGTTTTCTTACAGGTGTCATCCTCCCAAAACCCACAGACACTGTATCTGCTCCCTGAATTATATATCAAAAGTACAACAGCACTAAAGATGTCTGAAGGCCTCATTTATATTTTGGCTGTTTCCTTCCCATAGATTTATCTGAGTTAATTTCAACTACAGCTGGACCCAATTACCTGACTATTCAAATATTTGATCGTTGAGTAGGTAATTGGTTTTCAGTTTTAGTATTTGAATATTTGAGACAGCAGTAAATTTTAGTGCAGTGTGAGTCTGATGATGAAGACAAAAGAACACAGTAGAGGCAGCTTGGTCTGCTAGCTAGTACTCATGTCTCTGAAAACATTGGAGAAAATCTCCAAATACAGATGTAGCCACTCAGGATTGCTGAATGGCTTTCTGCTGGCGTGCAGTTCCCATCAGCCTTCCATGAGCCCCCCTTTCAACTGATACATTTCACAAGAAACACACCCACTAAAGAGGTATTCCTTGTTTTCCACTGTGTCACCACTAGAAGACGCTTTGTTCTCAAAAACACACAAACCAGAGCGTGACTGCCTGAAGTCCTGTATTCACACTGCAAAGGCATGTTTTTGTTTAGGTCATGGTTTATGCACTAGAAGTGTCTGACCATAGTCCTTATCATACAGGTACAGCACCAGATAAATAATTATTACCTGCTACACTAGGTTTCATATTTCTAGTCAAAGATCTATTAAACATGGTTAGCATGCTTAATTTATATTAAGAAATAATAAGTAATAACTAAATATTAAAGTCTGCTAGAATGAAGAAGATAACGTCTTTGTGAAGATTCATTTGAAATCTGACCTATCGCACAGCTGCAGTTATGTGGACTTTGTAAAACGATACTGTCAATACAGCTTCATTAAAAACACAAGGGGCAGAATGAGGGTTTAACGGCCAGCTATCACTGTCTTAAAGTACAGATGAACTCAGGTGCGATAAACCAGTGTTTTGACAGGGGGGCAAACACTTGTTCACACAGGGATCTATAGTTTTGGATTTTGTTTTCCCTTAATAATAAAAACCTTCATTTAAAAACTGCATGATGTGTTTACTTGTGTTATCTTTGACTAATATATAACTTTGTTTGACGATCTGAAACATTACAGTGTGACAAACATGCAAAAAGATAAGAAATCAGTAAGGGGGCAAACACTTTTTCACACCACTGTATATAAACACTTAGCTCACCCTTACAAAACAATTACAAATAATATCTATATATGAACTACATACTATTCTATTACATATTACCTCTGGACTGGTAACTTGTTTGATTTTAACAACTACACTTTCAACAGTGGAGTCCTCAGTCGTCTTCCACGAAGTCCACTGTGGCTCTAACAGAGACGGATGGTGCAATCTGACACTGATGTACCTTGACTTTGGAGTTCACCTCTAATCTCTTTGGAAGTTGTTCTGGGCTCTTTGGTTACCATTCGCATTATCCTTGAAGACACCTGTGATGCTAATTAGAGGACACACTTCAGTTTAACATGTCCCTGTGGTCAAATTATTTTCAGTCCTTTCTATAGGGGTACCATCATTTGTTTGTTTTTTAAAATGCTTCTGTTAAACTACAATTCAAAAGCAATTACTGATTTTCATTAGTTAATTTTCAGTAAATTTTTATTTATTACTACTTTTGTCAGTTTCACGTTATTTCAGTGACCATTGTGAGTTTCTCTTTCTTTAACAAAAGGGTACCAACAATTTTTTCCACATCTGCATGTTGGCAAACTGGCGGTCCTTGGCTCATTTTTGCTCCTAAAGGCCTCGGCCTTTCCTGGATGCCACTTTTGTACTAAATCATGATGCAGTCACCTGTTGACACCAGGTGGTTCAAATGGAATCACCATTTCATTGTTTTACCTCATTACTGGCCCTGAAATTTAGCCATCCTAACTTTTTTGGAATGTGTTGCAGCATCAGAACTGAAGTGAGTTTTTATTTTGAACACAATAAAATTGATTAGGTATCACATCTGTCACCTCCGCCTCCTGCCAGCAACTGAACTAAGTGACGAGGCACGCCCAGCACAGCTGAAAGCAATCTGCCAGGCTGTTCTTAAGCTGGGTGCTGGCGTGCCCTCATCGCCAGTTCATCAACACACCCTACCAGACTCTGTCCTGGCTCACCACTTAGCCCGATCATATGTACTGCTATATTGTTTTCAATGTAATACATGACAAAGCTGAGTTGCGCATCACCTTTTTCTGTTTTGATTTTACATACTGTAGGATGTAAATTATTTGTATACTAACTGCAATAAGGGTATACCATAAAGATTAGTATGTGTAGTATCCATATACCTGCACTATATACAGTGCCTTGCGAAAGTATTCGGCCCCCTTGAACTTTGTGACCTTTTGCCACATTTCAGGCTTCAAACATAAAGATATAAAACTGTAATTTTTTGTGAAGAATCAACAACAAGTGGGACACAATCATGAAGTGGAACGAAATTTATTGGATATTTCAAACGTTTTTAACAAATAAAAAACTGAAAAATTGGGCATGCAAAATTATTCAGCCCCCTTAAGTTAATACTTTGTAGCGCCACCTTTTGCTGCGATTACAGCTGTAAGTCACTTGGGGTATGTCTCTATCAGTTTTGCACATCAAGAGACTGAAATTTTTGCCCATTCCGCCTTGCAAAACAGCTCGAGCTCAGTGAGGTTGGATAGAGAGCGTTTGTGAACAGCAGTTTTCAGTTCTTTCCACAGATTCTCGATTGGATTCAGGTCTGGACTTTGACTTGGCCATTCTAACACCTGGATATGTTTATTTGTGAACCATTCCATTGTAGATTTTGCTTTATGTTTTGGATCATTGTCTTGTTGGAAGACAAATCTCCGTCCCAGTCTCAGGTCTTTTGCAGACTCCATCAGGTTTCCTTCCAGAATGGTCCTGTATTTGGCTCCATCCATCTTCCCATCAATTTGAACGGGGCTGAATAATTTTGCACGGCCAATTTTTCAGTTTTTTATTTGTTAAAAAAGTTTGAAATATCCAATAAATTTCGTTCCACTTCATGATTGTGTCCCACTTGTTGTTGATTCTTCACAAAAAATTACAGTTTTATATCTTTATGTTTGAAGCCTGAAATGTGGCAAAAGGTCGCAAAGTTCAAGGCGGCCGAATACTTTCGCAAGGCACTGTACAGTTAGTATTGGACACTGCAATCAATAAGTGCCATTGTGTGGCCCATGGTCTATACACTGGTTTTAGCTAGTCATCCAAGCTAAATGAAAAGGTTATGAAACCCTCATGGCTAAAAAGCAAGTCACACAGGAAGTGAACACCAGTTTCCTCTGGGAAAGTCCTGTGTTCTCTGACCTATACATCAACCCCATATCTTATTAATGTGGACTTTGTTGCTCCCTATACTACATCATCCCATTTCCTTGTTTGCTCGTCATAAATTATTATGGTCACTAGAGTTCTCCTAACTATAATGTATCACTGTTGGTCATAAGAACTGCTGGCACAGGTCTTTTTTATTACAAAAGGGCAGGTGTTGAAGGGAATTACTTTCAAACTTAAAGTCATATTTTGATGATACTGTATGTGTAACCAGGTGTTCATCCTTACTGGATTGGGGATCTGGAAAGTATCATCATGAAATCAGCAGAGCTGTATGCCAGTTATCCTCATGGTGGTTTATATGGAAACAGGAAATCTCTGTCCCAGCAGCTGGAGTTTTCTCCCACCACTACACAGGTAATTTATTTTACCTAAACAGGATGTATCAAATATCACACCTTACATGTTGATAAATTTAATTGTAAGGATAACACAAAGTAAGAAAAAATATTATTTCACTTGTGCACATCCTATACAGGTGTCACAAATCCAGTTAGAACTAGAGAATTGCATTTTCTGAAGAAAATGCGTATGGATGCTGAGTGCTGAAAGGTTGCCCTGAAAATGCTGAACATTTTGACACCAGAATGCTGTTGATAGCTGAAAGTATGCAGAAGTAGATCTTTCCCATTCATTTGAATGGGTGAAGAGTTTCAGAATAAAGCTAAATATTTCAAAATTATGAAGTTTAGAAAACGTCTGAAGTGAAGCACGAATGTCCTTGAGCTTAACATTTTGATAGCTGAAATTATGCTGAAGTTAAATTTCCCCATTCATTTGAATGGGGCAAGATTTTCAAAATAAAGCTAAATATTTTAAAAAGTGTGAGGTTTAGTACGGTTTTGAAGAGAACAATTAATGTTTTTGAGGAGCTGAACATTTTAATAGCTGAAATAGCTGAAAGTGTGTTGAAGAAGAATTTCTCTAATCATTTGAATGAGCCAGGATGGGGCTTGTGGCAAAAGAAGACAAAGACAGCAGACCACAGACAAACAAATGAGAATGGTCAGCAGGCAGGAAGGTTTCTACATCAACACAATACAATACAAACTTGTTTAGTTTTATATAGTGTTAGTTTAGGTAAACCAGATAAAAAAACCAGCCTGAGCTGAACAGAAAACCAAAACATCCTCTACACGTGTCACTTAATGTGAGGAAGCTTGTGATCTGGATATGTGCCAGTAAGGGATTGTGGCTTTTGTTAATTTGTTGAAAGAAAATAAAAGTTGTAAAGGAACACAAATCATTGACACTGGTACCCAGACCTAGTCAGCAGTTGAAGTAGGAGATAATATATTTGTGTTGAAAAACAGAGGTTTCAAAAACTAAGTAAATACTTATGAAAAATGCCATAAATTGCCCCTGATAATAGTAACAAAATGTAACTACTTACTTCCAGTAAGTAGTTACATTTATGTTATGCAAATCAATGTCATGTCCCCTAAAATGATTGAAGCACAGTGTGTGTGTGTGTGTGTGTGTGTGTGTCTGTGTTAAATGCTGCTCCTTTCCAGCCTGTGCATAATCCCCCACGCTCTCTCAGCTCTGTTCAGCTGGTACACTCGTGCAGCAACACGCAAGCCTTCATAATCTGTAATATTGTGCTGATGAAGGGTCATGGAAAGGTAAGAACCATACATTTCCATCAAAACTGTCTATATGTTTGATTTCTCTCTAGTGGTGAGCAAAAGGTAGGACAGGTATTCCCTGCTGCTCTTCAATCACCCTTAACCTTCAATCTCACTTAACCTTTTGCACTTCTGTCTCTGTATTATTTTGTTATACATTACATTATGTTGCTTAGAGTGACATTTTATCATTATATGATCTTATTTCTCATTTTTGTAGTTAATTATTGCAACTCAATATTTCACTGGTTTCATCAACTTTATAGCATATCACAAAAGAACTTTGACACAATTAATATTCATGTCTTAGATTATTTCTTTGGTATAACCAGTGTACCAGTATTTGCAAAACAAGTTACACTGTTCCTTATATTATGATTATGACTACAATCCCAGCAAACCCCCGGCGTTGCATGCATGTGACATCTACATCCCGTCAGTTGGTCCAAGTCCTCTTCTGTAAATTTGTGAGAAGTGTGATAGAGGTTCAATACCCAGCGTCTGGATATGACAATTTTTTTGTTTTTGGATGTCTAACACAAGTTCAGTATTATTAATCTGGCACAGACCACTTTTCTACATCTGTTGAAGTACACATTAGAATGGATATTTGGACATCTGGTCTGGAATTATTTTGGACGTCTGACGTACAAGACAGGGCAGAATGCCCATCCAGGGCCATTTCTGACATTCATGACCATGTATTACAGATTTGGATGTTTGTACAAGACATCCAAAGTAAGTATTTATATCTGTACATCTAGATAAGATCTACAGTGCCTTGCGAAAGTATTCGGCCCCCTTGAACTTTGCGACCTTTTGCCACATTTCAGGCTGCAAACATAAAGATATAAAACTGTAATTTTTTGTGAAGAATCAACAACAAGTGGGACACAATCATGAAGTGGAACGAAATTTATTGGATATTTCAAACTTTTTTAACAAATAAAAAACTGAAAAATTGGGCGTGCAAAATTATTCAGCCCCTTTACTTTCAGTGCAGCAAACGCTCTCCAGAAGTTCAGTGAGGATCTCTGAATGATCCAATGTTGACCTAAATGACAAAGGATGATAAATAGAATCCACCTGTGTGTAATCAAGTCTCCATATAAATGCACCTGCACTGTGATAGTCTCAGAGGTCTCTCTGATCAGTCTTCTCCTTGTATGAGCTGAAAGTTTAGAGGGACGGCCAGGTCTTGGTGGATTTGCAGTGGTCTGATACTCCTTCCATTTCAATATTATTGCTTGCACAGTGCTCCTTGGGATGTTTAGCTTGGGAAATCTTTTTGTATCCAAATCCGGCTTTAAACTTCTCCACAACAGTATCTCAGATCTGCCTGGTGTGTTCCTTGTTCTTCATGATGCTCTCTGTGCTTTAAACGGACCTCTGAGACTATCACAGTGCAGGTGCATTTATACGGAGACTTGATTACACACAGGTGGATTCTATTTATCATCATTAGTTATTTAGGTCAACATTGGATCATTCAGAGATCCTCACTGAACTTCTGGAGAGAGTTTGCTGCACTGAAAGTAAAGGGGCTGAATAATTTTGCACGCCCAATTTTTCAGTTTTTTATTTGTTAAAAACGTTTGAAATATCCAATAAATTTCGTTCCACTACATGATTGTGTCCCACTTGTTGTTGATTCTTAACAAAACATTACAGTTTTATATCTTTATGTTTGAAGCCTGAAATGTGGCAAAAGGTCGCAAAGTTCAAGGGGGCCGAATACTTTCGCAAGGCACTGTATATGTCTATTCAGGACATATTTTGGAGGTCATCAGACATTCAACAATAACTCAGAACTCTAATACCTCTAATGCCTGTTTTGGATGTTCAAAGTTAGTTAAATGTCTGCACCTGTCAACCACACTTAATTTGGACATCCACCAATGTCCAGCAGAGGCTCACTATCTGGATGTCTTCTGTGGACCTACACTGGAGATCTGTAGACATCCAAAACAGACTCAAAACACTGGCATATGTTTTGGATGTCTATGGACCTCCAGTATAGGCCCACAAAAGACATCCAGATACCTATGAGGATGTTGGTGGACTACCAAGCTAAGTCTTCACAGTATTTGCTAGTAATACTTTTGTCATCTCAGCTGGTGTGCTAAATGAAATTGCCACAGACATTCATCTAACCTATGTGTTAGATGTATGCTGTTGTTGTGACATTAGTCTTGCCTCAGTTGCCACTATTGTTGCTGTGTTAATGCATGTTCATGAGTTCCTGGAAGTGTGGTTATGAAACCCTAAGTGAAGGGAGTTGTGAATTTGCCTCACTTTTCTCAAAAAGACATTTTTATATCTCACAACTAATAAACTAAGAGGCTTTTCCACTACACTTCTGTAACACTGGGTAAAGCATTATTAAAAAAATTGTGGTGAAGATGTTTAACTGTCGTCCAAGTACTGTAGAATGAAAAAGCCATTGCAAAATCTTTTATCCTGCCTACTCAGTGAACCACCTTTTCAAATCTGAAACAGACCTCAATTAGACATTCTGTTTAGGGGCATTGTGATTATATTGCTCATTGACCCTCCTATACTGGCGTCTTCTGCTCCCTAACTGGGAGTATTGGACAGTCTCTGTTCTGACTGGTCCTTCCTAAAAGCAAAGTGACTCTGGATCATTCAGACCAAAAACACCTGGGGCCCATTTCAAGAAGGAGGTTTTGTTGAAACTCTGAGTTTGTTAACCCTGAAATGAGGAAAACTGAGTTTTCGGTTCCAGAAACGGAGGTAACTTAAACCCATGAAAGCAGGGTAAGTTAAACCCGTTTCAAAAAGAGAGGTAATCTAAACTCAGAGTCAGTTACTATGACAACTTACTCTGTGAACCTAACCTGGTTGGGAGCAGGTTTTGTTCGGGAAACCCAGAGTTTCCTCCAGTCTCCGCCCCTTTTTAAAGTGAAAGGTGTTTAAATAAGCCTACCTCATTTAATCTTTCAGTACATTCATAGATTGCACATGTTTCCGTCACGCAGAGACCAAAATGGCATGTCCATTTATAGAGGATCCTGTAGATGAGGAGGCTGTATTAATTCACAGGGAATTGAATTTACATCGGGAAAGGATTTTGAGGCCACGAGTTGATTTTTTTGTCATATCCCCATGTATTTTTATTTAAGCGGTACCGTTTTTCTAGAGAGTCCATAACATATCACTAATCTTATCCACCCATACATCAGACACATCACCCATCGTGGCCGTGCTCTTACATCCGAGCAGATGCTTTGTGTTGCGTTACGATTTGTTGCAAACGGCAGTTTTCTTTATAACATCGGGGATGCAGAGCACATTAGTAAGGCCACAGTATGTAGAATAGTTCGGAAAGTGTGCCTCACCCTCAAGCGCTTTCTGTGAATTTTTGTTGTGTTTCCTGGGCACAAACCCCTCAGAGCCATTAAAGAGGAGTTTCACAGGATTGTAGGTTAGTGGTATTGAATTAGTTTCAGTAAGGCTAATCTGAAAAATGATGATCAGTTAATAACATCTTGCTGTGACCTCTGGAAATAAACTAATAATTAGAATCCCCTTCAGGATTTCCAAATGTGGTTGGATGCATTGATGGCACACATATTCCCATCAATGCACCTACATGAAAATTAAAATTCAATTCTTATATTACATCAGTGTTGGGTAAATCTTAAA